TAATAATAATAATAAATATCTAAGGGCATCAGATTTAAAGGTAACTTTAAACACAATAATAAACACAATCAATTGTGTTTATTTGTACCTCAATTGTCACTTTTTTTCTTTTTTTTTGCTTTTTGGGTCACACCCGGCAATGCACAGGGGTTGGTTACTCCTGACTTATGCACTCAAGAATCACTCCTGGCAGTGCTCAGGGGACCATATGGGATGCTGGGAATTGAACCCAGGTCGGCCGCATGCAAGGCAAATGCCCTACCGGCTGTGCTATCGCTCCAGCCCCTCAATTGTCACATTTTATCTCCTGCTCTGTTCTCTAACTCACCTCAGTAGACCTAAGCACAACTATCTTATAATTCTCTGCCTCTAAAAATAAGAATAAGAAAAATCCTAGAGCAGGTCGAGTATGTGCTATCTTTGTACCTGGTGATTTCAAAGTGGCAAGTTGACAAGCAAGTAGAAAAGTGAAAAGGAGCTTCATTGCCCTACAAAGGGTTGACCCCAGCTCTTGGGGTCTTCCAGTATCTCCTCATTCAATTCTCATTCCCGAGATCACAGACTTTTATCAGAGATGTCCCAGCAAATTCACTCTGCAAAGGTGATCTGAGTTTCAGTTATTCTTAGGATTTTTGTCTCATAGGGAACATTTGGTTATTCAGGAGAGATTTTGATTGTCACAACTTGGGGAAAATGCTACTGACACCCAAGGATAGGGGTTAGGAGAGCTGCAAACACAAGAATAGTCTGTAATTATCTAGTGCCAAGGACTGAGTGTCATGGCCTAGTGGCTTAGCTAGAGCTCACAGTCTTTGTTTCCAATTCATGATTAGTAATTCAGTTTTGTTTAGACTGGCTTTGTAGAAATGAGGCCCTTATAATAAAAAATCATATAAAACTAATACCCAAGGACAGTAGAAATGAGTACCAGGAGAACGGGTCCACTGTTGGAAGCTTGTCACAAGTATGGGGTTGAGGGCAGTTAAGATAATGAAAGCACCAGTATGAAAATGATAGTTGGAAATGATCTCTCTGGACAAGAACTGAGTGCTGAAAGTAGGTAAAAGGATATATATGATAACCTTTAAGTATCTGCATTGCAGACCATAATGCCCAAACAGAGACAGATGGACAGACAGACAGACAGACAGACAGACAGAGAGACAGAGGTGGGGAGAGAGAAGAAAAGTGCCTGCTGGCACAGAGGTAGAATGGGGAAGGCAGGCTGTGGCAAGAGGGAACTGGGGACATTGATGGGAAATGAATGTACACTGGTGAAGGGATGGATGTTGTAATAGTGCATGACTGAAACCCAATGATGAACAATGAACAACTTTGTGATTGTGTATCTCACAGTGATTCAATTTAAAAAAATATTTAACTTAAAAAAAAAAAGGATTTGGTGACCCAGAGTAGAGTATCACCTCTTCTGAATATACAGAATTATCTCCTGCCTCACTAAAACGTTTTGTTTAAGAGATTAGCGTTTGAGTAAGTGGGCTAAGTAAAGATGACCCTCCTCAAAATACACATGCACATCACTGAGCAAAAGCCAGAGGAAAATATTGCTGCATTTTTGGATATAGACCACCATCTTCTTCTTTCATTGGATATTATGATTCCTTGTTCTTGGACCTCTGACTTTAGATTTACATCAGTTCCTCCTGGTTCTCAGACCTTCAGGCCAACTGAACTGTATCGTTGGTTTCCTGGTTCTCCAGTTTGCAGATGGAAAATGAAGATATCTCAGCCTCCAGAATTACATGAACCAATTCCAATAATAAATCTCTTGGTACCAAAGATATAGTATAACTGGTAAGGCATTCACCTTGCCACAAAACTGGTTCAGTCCCTACCACCCCTATGGTTGACTAAACACTGTCAGGAGTGTTCCCTGAGCAGAGAGCCGAGTGCTCCCTGAGAATAACTAGGTGTCACCCAAACATCCAAAAAAATCACTTAATCACTTAACTTCCCGTTAGTTGTCAATTTGCTCGAGCGGGCACCAGTAACGTCTCCATTTGTCCCTGTCGCGTGCTAGTGTAGCCCAATGGCATCTGTTCGCTCCGGGAACATGAAGAGCCTCAAACCGATCGTCATGATCTTCACGAAGAAGTCTGACCATCTGGTAGGTGGGCGGCCACGCAGTCTTTTGACATCCCATGGAATGTCCAAAAAAATAATAAATTAAATCTCACATATTTATATTTAAATGTACTAAACCTATAATAACCAGAGAGATGATCTCCATGTATATATACATATCTATTTGTATATATACAGATATCTGTGCATATCTATTTATTCTATTGGCTCTCTGTCTCTGGAGAACTCTGACTAATACATGCAATATGTTTTACCAGACACCTAAAATGCAAATCCCTATGTGTTAAAATCTACTCACGTTAGGTTTCTCAAAGTATCTACATCTTCCATTTCATCTCGATAAATTTTCACATTTTACCCTGGAAGTTTCTCCTTTTTGCATTGTTTTCACATCTTGATGTCATCCAAAAATATTCTTGCAATAATATTCAATAAATGAAAAGGATTTCAAAACATATTATCTGTTCCCTTTTTGCTAACTGTTACAGATGTACTGGAGGTCTTTGGCTGCCGGAGCTCTGGTCAGAGTGGGGAGGGAAACTCAACCCACCCCCCTCCAAGGGGCCCAGCGAGGACAGCCAGGCACGGGGCAGGAGACTCTGTGCTGTTCCTTCCAGGAGCTGGGTTTTATAGCCGAAGACCTCCAGAACCAGCCACAACCATGCTGAGACCACTCTCCACATGCATGAAGGTACTGGCAGAGGAACAAAGGCATGTGGGTCGTGGGGCTGAGATCTCCAAGCCTGCTCAGATGGGGGCTGAGCATCCTCCACCCAGATCCTCCATCTTCCAGTAGGCAGTAGTAATACCCATCAACTGACCCCCTGGCACTGTGTAATCCCATCAACAGCCAAGACCCAGAGACTATAAAACCCAGCTCCCGGAAGCACACGGCTGCATTCACCATAGCATGACAACTTATTCTTACTTTGGACAACCTGGCAGGCTACTGTATGTAACCTGCCCACACAGCAGAGTCTGGCAAACTCCCCGTGGCATACCCAATACGCCAAATACCAGTAACAATGATGGGTCTCATTCTCCTAACCCTGAAAGAGGCTTGAATACGGCACTTTTTAAAAATCTCAGGGCTAGGACGAAGGAGATGTTACTGGGGCCTGCTCGAGGCAATCGATGAACAACAGGATGATCGTGATTGTGATCGTGACCGTTAAAGATGTAATAGCTAAGATAACAGAGGCAGATGGGGAATGAATATAGAGAATAGGATGCTCATAGACACCTTCACATAATCTTCTTAATAGAGAAACAGAAATTCTTTCTCTTATCCAGGTCCCAACTCAATCTTTTCTTCTTCTACCAAGAGTGTCTGGAATCCACATTCTAATGATCATCATAAAGGTCTGTGGCAATGCAATAATATAAATACAGGGAACTAATTGAATTATCATACTTTTGAAGTTTAACTCCAAATAAGCTGACGTTACCGCAGATGTCTTCCTAGATCAATGTTCAAAGCAGCATTTGTTACAGAGGGAGGATCCCTTGACATTTCAAATAAGAGAATGTGGGTACAAAGATGAGTGTGTGTGTGTGTGTGTGTGTATTTCTGTGTGTGCATGTATGTGTGTGTACATATGTGTGTGTGAATCCCATGGAAAATAAGCTGTGATTCCAGCAGCTTGGTCTCTGGTGGAAACTGCTGTTGTCTACCAAAAGTGGTTTCTCCACTGTTTCTACAATAATCAAATTGTGGCTGAGTAGCTGGCTTCCTAGTTTAGGCTATTTTTAACACCCCGCAATTACATCTGACCTATGGTTAGCTTCTCCCCAATTGAGATGAGTGGGAATGATGATTTCTGCATCTGGTAGAGAAATCTAACGGCACAAGGAGTGTCTCCCCCATGTGCTCTTCTTACCTTCTTGTTCACCCACTGTGGACCATATTGGTCAAAAGACCCTCTACAGGAATTTGGAAAATAGTCCCTGTTACAGCTACTCAGTTCTGTCACTGTAGCATAAAAACAGTCATAGACAATACATGTGGTTTAACTATTTTTTAATAAAAGTTGGCTATGGATTTGAAAATTTTCAACATGCTTATGCATGATGAAGTCTTACACCACTTTTATTTGTTTTCAGTTTTTGAAGAATATTCAAATCAGTCTTAGCTCACAGGTCATGAAAACCAGTATTGACCTAGATTTGGTCAGCAGGCCTTAGTTTGCCAACATGCTAAGGAAGATTTATCCTTTAAGAAAAAAGAAAGTTGAGGCTGACATGATAGTAGAGTGGGTAGGGCACCCGCCTTGCACATGGTCAACCTGGGTTTGATCCCCAACATCTCATATGGTCTCCCAAGCCTACCAGGAGTGATCCCTGAGCGCAGAGCCAGGAGAAACCTCTTAGTATTATTGGGTGTGTCCACCCAAAAATCAAAGAAAAGGAAAAAAAGAGAAAGTAAAGGAAAAGAAGAAACTTGGAACTTAATTATTTATTTATTTATTTATTTATTTATTTTTACTGTTTGGGTCACAACCAGCGATGCTTCAGGGTTACTCTGGGCTCTGCACTCAGGAATCACTCCTGACAGTGCTTGGGAGACCATAGGGGATGTTGGAGATCAAACCGGGGTCAGCTGCATGCAAGGCAAATGCCCTACCCACTGTACTATCACTCCAGCCCTGAAGAAACTTGGATCTTTGAGTATTTATTGAGCCAACCTACCCACTAACCTGAAGCACTCACCTTGAACTTGCAGAAAAGAAAAACAAGCTACATTAATAGCTCTGTTTTGTTTTAGCAAATTCACATTTTACTTGTACTGATACATAGTCCTTACCTCCTGATCACTCAAGTCACTGATTCATTCCATAGACCCCCCGCCATCCTTCAACTCATCAAGCAAAGACATGAGCTCCCCTCCTAACCCATTACTGACCTTTCCACAACTTGAGGGAAAATGCTCGACCCAGAGCTCCCTTTACCTCCTTGTTCCGAAGACTGTAGATAAGGGGGTTGAGCATTGGTGTCACAATGGAGTAGAAGACAGACACCACTTTGTTGAAGTTGATGGAAGAGGTGACTTTGGTCCGGACATACATAAAGAAGAGGGTTCCATAGAAGAGGCTCACCACAGTCAAATGAGCCACACAGGTAGAGAAGGCCTTCCGGCGCTCAGCAGCTGAGCGGATATGCAGCAGTGTCCAGACAATGTTGCCATAAGACACAGCAATTACAGCTGAGGAAACCAGGAGCACAGTCAGAGAGACCAGGAAGTCCGCGGTCTCCTTCAAGGTGACATCTGAGCAGGACAAGGCAAGCAGGGGTGAAGCATCACAGAAGAAGTGATCGACAACATTGGGGCCACAAAATGTCAGCTGGGACATGAGGTAGATGGGCAAAATTGGCGTGAGGAAGCCCACCAACCAACATGCAGCTGCCAGACGAATGCAGGTACCCCAGGACACCAAAGCCCCATATCGAAGAGGCATACAAATGGCCACATAGCGGTCATAGGCCATGGCAGCAAGGAGAAAACACTCAGTTGCTCCAAGGAAGGTGAAGATGAAGAGCTGGGATAGACAACCGGCATAGGAGATATTCTTGCCCCCATCCGTCCCGATAAAACCAGCCAACATCTTGGGCACAGTGACTGAAGTGTACCATATTTCAAGGCAGGACAAGTGTGTGAGGAAGAAATACATGGGCCTCTGTAAGCGGTGGTCCAAGCCCACCACCAAGATGATGGCCAAGTTCTCCATCAAGGTAAACAAGTACATGGCAAGGAAGAGAGTAAAGAAGAGGAGACGTGATTCATGCACTCCAGCAAAGCCCACCATGACAAACTCTGTCACCTGAGTCCAGTTCTGCGTGTATGACTGCATGTGTAGAGTAAAAATCTCAGTAGGCACACACAACCTACAGAGAAGGCAGCTCAAAGAGAATTTGTGAGTAACAGAATGGAAATATCTCCCACTTTGAAAAAGTAAAGTGAAGTCAAGACAATATTCCTAACATCAAATAATTTATAGTCTTGGAGGATGACAAGAAAACAGACAACTTCAGTACAAAATGAGAAATTCTGCATAAAAAGATGGAACTTCATCAACAGACATAGTGAGGAAACTCAACCCATCTTGAAGAATCAAAGAAATCATCTTGAAAGAAGAGTTATCCAAGCTAGGGCCTCCTGAAAAATAAGTCTAAGTCAGTGAGGTCAAAGATAATGGAGAGGCAGGGAGTGGGGTGGTGGAGGATAAACGGGGACATTGGTGGTGGGAAGTATACGCTGGTAAAGGGACGGGTGTTAGAACATTGTATGACTGAAACCCAATCATGAACAGCTTTGTAACTGTGTAACTTTGAATCTCATGGTGAGTCAATTAAAAATTAATTCATTAACAAAAACAGTATTAAGAGAAGGCAGAGCAAGTTTAGTTTCTAACATAACATTACGCACTCGGGAAAATTTCAAGTAGGTACAGTTTACTTGAAATATAGAGGTTAACCAAGAATAGCCGAGATCAGTACCAGGAGGATTACTCCATGGCTTAGAGGCCAGATGGGCACTCTAGGGGAAAGGGCAGCTCAGATAGAGAAGGGGGCACTAAATAAAGGGTGTTTGGAGGATCTTCCCAGGAGGGGAGATGCATGTTGAAAGTAGACTATGGAATGAACATGATTGCCACTCAATGCCTCTTTTGCAGACTGCAACACCCAAAAGGAGAGAGAGAGAACAAAAGGGAATGCCCTGCCACAGAGGCGCGGGGTGGGGAGGGGGGGAGGGGGGATTGGTGTGGGAGGGATACTGGGATACATGGTGGAAAATGGGCATTGGTGGAGGGATGGGTATTTGGCCATTGTATAATCGAAACCCAAGCACAAAATTTTGTAAATCTACAACTGTACCTCATGGTGTTTCACTAATAAAAATTAATAATAAACAAAAAAAATAAATATAGAGGTTAAGATCTTGGCTTCCTGACCAGGCATACCTCACTTCAAACACAAAGAACCAAACTAATGGAACTGTTGTAAAGTTTGTATTAGATAGTCCCTCTGAAGCATTTAGGCATGGTATTTGGATCAAAAATGTTACGGGAGCCTTACGCACATTCAACTCAATTCCTTGCACCCTATGTGGTCTCTTTAATAAGAGAAAATAATGTGGCAGTTTTCAATCCTTCTCAATGTGTTTTTGACACTCTGTCCATCAAGTAGTGGGAGCTAGCACTGCTCCCTTGAGTCTGGGCTTTGTAGCTACTGGACAAGAAAGTAAGCTGGAAATCATGCTTGGCCTTAAGAAATTATTTTCTCAGGGTTGAAGAGATAAGGTGGAGTGAGGTACTTTCTTGCATGACGCCTACTGGGGTTCAATCCTCAGCACCTCCTACAGTTCCCCTAGAGTCATCAGAAGTGGTCCTTAAGCACAGAATCAGAAATAAGTTCTGAATACCACCAGAGGTAAGGCAGGGCAGGGTAGGGCAAAGAAAAGAAAAAGGAAGGAAAGAAGAAAAGAAAAGGAAGGAAGGAAGGAAGGAAGGAAGGAAGGAAGGAAGGAAGGGAGGGAGAGAGGGAGGGAATGAGGGAAGGAGAAAAGGAGGGAGGGAAGGAGAAAGGTTGGAAAAGAGGGAGGGAGGGAGGAAGGAAGGAAGGAAGGAAGGAAGGGAGGGAGGGAGGGAGAGAGGGAGGGAATGAGGGAAGGAGAAAAGGAGGGAGGGAAGGAGAAAGGTTGGAAAAGAGGGAGGGAGGGAGGAAGGAAGGAAGGAAGGAAGGAAGGAAGGAAGGAAGGAAGGGAGGGAGGGAGGGAGAGAGGGAGGGAATGAGGGAAGGAGAAAAGGAGGGAGGGAAGGAGAAAGGTTGGAAAAGAGGGAGGGAGGGAGGAAGGAAGGAAGGAAGGAAGGAAGGAAGGAAGGAAGGAAGGAAGGGAGGGAGGGAGGGAGGGAGGGAATGAGGGAAGGAGAAAAGGAGGGAGGGAAGGAGAAAGGTTGGAAAAGAGGGAGGGAGGGAGGGAGGGAGGGAGGGAGGGAGGGAGGGAGGGAGGGAAGGAGGGAGGAAGGAAGGAAGGAAGGAAGGAAGGAAGGAAGGAAGGAAGGAAGGAAGGATGGGAGGGAGGGAGGGAGGGAGGGAGGGAGGGAGGGAAAGAGAAAGAAAAGAAAGAAAGAAAGAAAGAAAGAAAGAAAGAAAGAAAGAAGAAGAAAGAAAGAAAGAGAAGAGAATTCTCTTCTTGCTTCTTGGAATCAAGCCACCATAATGTGGGGAAATCAAGGCAGCCAGAAGCTGAAGTCTCCAGCCCTTGACCCCAGCTGAGCAACTACTCCAGCCACCAGTTCAATGAGGCACAAATTCCTCATTCAAGCGCCCCCCACCAGCTCACCCTGCTGACACCGAACCCTCATTCAATTACAGATTTGTGACCTAAATCAGTGAGCATTGTTCCCATAAGATACTGCGATTTCAGTGGTTTGTTCATTGCCAATAGATAAGTGATCCAAGGACAGGCTAATTCTTTTCACCTTGAGCAAATTACTCCAACTCCCTGACCCTTTGGAAGAAAAGAAAGCGTGTTTGGCCTCTGGTCACAAATGCCTGAACTGGAATTTGAATTCAGTGTTGCCAGAGTTAAAACCATTGCTGTTTCCCCTCAAATTAATTAAGCAGCTTCCTTCTGGCTTCAACAGCCCACGGTTTCTTGGCCATGAGAACATGTCGAGATACAAAATCAGAGAAAGGTCAAAGAATCGGATTCCTGAACATCTCTGCCATGCCAAATTCCATGCTTCGGCGTCCCCACAGTGGGCCATCTGTAAACACTGGCTTCCTGGCTGAATAATTATAAGCGGCCCCAGATGCTTTATGCTCCTATTGGAAATTTCAGGGCCTGAGTCCCCTTTGCAGCTTGGCTAAGAAAATAGCAGCCTAGCTGGGTACTCTCCTTTCCTCGAAGCCTTTTCCTACGGAGCAGCTCGCTCGCTGCACTCAGGCAGTGGAAGCCAGGTTGGACTTGCTGTGTTACCCGGGCACTTTCCAGACGTGTTCGCTCTTGTTCCTCATCATTAAGAGCATGAGATTTAGAGTCAAACAGATCTCTGGGGCTGGAGTGATAGTACAATGGGTAGGGCTTGCCTTGCACACAGTGGAGACTGGAAGTGTGAGATGGAGAATTAATTCTTCGTGGTCTGGTGAGAGAACTTTTCTGTGTTGCAGATTACCAAATTCTCCTTGGATCTTCAGAGAGAGGGTCTGAGAGCCCGGGAGAGAATCTTTTATAAGCACAATAATCCCATACATGAGCCTCTACCTTAATCCTCAACAGTTGCCTTCCAAAGCCTTGCCTCCTAATGCTATCACACTGAGGATTTTCACAAATGCATTTGGAGGAAGGGCGAACGTTTCATCTCAATCAATGAGTGAATGTTATTTGATAAAACTGGGACGCGGATATAAACTCACCTTTAGTTGGATTTTTTCTTGTGTATAAATCTGAAATATTGCACGATAAAACTGCATTAAACGGGGGGCAGGAAGGAAACTGGGACATTGGTGGAGGGGAAGTTTCCAATACTTCTATCCCTGATTGCCACCCCCCAAGGATTGTGTTGAGTAAAAGAGTAAAAGAACCTCCACCCAAAATAGAAAGAAAAAAAAAAAGGAGGGGTGGGGGTATGGATTAAGTCCCTCCCCAGGGCCATATTTTTGCTATCTCATTTAATCCTCACAACAATACTTCCATCCTCTGACCTAGCCTTCATATGATTTGTCCCAAGTTTCACGCAATCAGAACTCAGAGCAATTCGAATAAGCTCAAAAAGACAGTCAATGCAAAGCAGGGAAATAATTCATACACTGGGCTAACCCCGTACTTTCCTTCCACCTCTGCTATGTCATTCCACCCAAGGATACAGCCGCACCCAGCGGCAGGCCCAGACTGTGAGGTTAATTGATCTGCAGCTCAGAGCGCAGCTCGAGGAATTCCCTGCAGGCTCAAGTGACTTGTAGGAACACAGCGAGGTTCCCAGGCCTGCTAACAGCATCAGTCTTCTCTCTCGGGTCAGAAGAACTTGATCAACCAACCAAGTGCACAGTGCAGAAAACAAACGGTCAGCAGGAGAAAAGAGGGTCACGGGGAACAATCACAACATAGGGAGAGAGGCCACACCTGAGGACCGGCCTAATTCGGCGGCCTCAAAAGACGGTGCAGTTCCCTTGGTTAACATTTTCCCCAACAAATTATGGAAAACAGTTTGGGGCCTGTGCAGGGAAATTAAAACTTGCTTCCTGCAGCTATTTGCTTGGGCAAACCTTTAATGAATCTGGTGTGAGATGTTGGGTTTTGCCTCTGCTGCAGTTCTCTCTACCTGGCCTCTGGGAGAATTATCCCGGAAGGTGAGAGGGATTTGGGAAATGAACTTCTTAAACCGCAAGCAATGATTTCAGAAAATGACCACCACCGTGGGCAGGAAATGGTGGTGGTGGAAACCCATAGCCCTGCCCTCTGCATCTTCTTTGTTCTCTCTGCCTCCAGCTTCCTGCTGTCCTCACTTGAACCTTGACTCTCTCACTATTCCACTCACACACTCCCCTTCCTGAATTCATAGCATCCCTCGACTATAGAATCAGAGGAATTTAGTTTGACTCTGCCATGGTCAGGCCCCAGGTACCTAATTTGGGGGAAATGCATTCGTGGTGATGAGGCTCGATTTCCTCCTCTTCCAGTAGGGGAGGATAGGACACCTTTGGCAAGGCTGATCCGAAGCTCAAAGGAAACAGTACCAGGAGAAAGTCCAAGATCTCCCTCTGCCTTACCTGAGTCTCCCTCCTGGGCTTCTTGCAATTCTCTGCATAAGGCCATCAAGACAGACAAGTCCGGGGCTGGAGAAGTAGC